TACTATCTGTAAATATGTCATGTCTTTTCTGATCAAAACTCTTGTTCATAATTATTTCAGGTGGAGAGATTCCAACAGTTGTTAATCCAATATCATCAAACAATATTTACAATTGCCACCTCAATGTGAATGTCCAGTAAATACAATTTGTATTGCTTATTTATTGTATTTATTTACTTCATTCTTTGTAATATTAATAAGATTATTATAATTGATTGGAAATGCTTTTGACCAAAAGAATGACATTACATAACTCAATTTTTGAACTGTTTGTTTTGTAGATAATGAAATGAAATAAACAATTTGTTAAATTACACTAATAAAAACAAGATAATATCATCATAATTTATTATCAATTCTATATTATTACAATTAGAATTTGAATTAATATGTACATGATGTTGAGTATTTTCACTATCACAATAAAGAGTGATGAAATTATTTATTTTTTCAATGAAAATGAACATAGAAAATAATAAATTAATCAAAATATATTGATAATAGAATAATAAGATATAATGATAGAAAGAGAAATGATCAAAAGAAAGAAGATTAGAAATATACATAATATAATATTCATAATAATGATGTAATAAAGAATATAATTAAAAAGAATACAATAACAAAGAAATAAAAGAGAATATAAATGATGATAGAGTTTGTATTTGATAATAATATGAAATGAATAAGAGTTATCTTTTTATATAAGAATGGAATTATTTCATTGTATGAATTATTGAAAAGTCATAGAGAATTAGTCTTTTATAGTTCTGAAAACATAAATTATAACATGAGTATGAACATTTCATTCAATAAATCATAAACTCTGATTGTTCAATTTTATGAATAGTTAAAAATTAATGAATCATTACAAACATCAACACACAACATGGAATTTATCATATTCATTTTTTATCATTCATAATAATTCTGTTTATTCTTTAACACTTTATTTCTCATTATCAAAACACAATTAATCAAATACCAATAATTTAAATGAAAACTAAATTAATTATCTCAACTTTGCTTATTTCTACTCACGTACTTGATTGTAGTATTATTCAATTGACACATTCGTTAGTAAACTGTTCTTAATAAAAATTATTACAATTAAACAAATTATCAATTTCAAATTATGAATGTGATTAATTGTTATTAAAATAAAATAACTAGAAAAACAAATATTTATTTTTTAAATAAAATGTCATAGAAAAGAATTTTTATTTTTAAAAAGAGAAATTAGTTTTTAATTTTAACTTGAAAAGAAAATTATAGTTAATAATAAATAAAAATGATATTAAAAGTTTAATATTCAATTCATCAAAAAAAGACAAGGAAGAATCTTAAAAATTATATAAAAAGAAAAAAATGGGAGCAGGACTTGAAAAAGCCATAAAAAAAGCAGCAGATAACAAAGAAAAGAAATTAACTTTTTGTAAAAAAGGAATAAAAAAATTACCACCAAGCATCAATACTGTTACTTCATGTGAATCATTGAACCTTGCCTTTAATGAAATTCGAGATTTACCAATAGAAATTGGAGAATTATTTAATCTTGAAGACTTAAATCTTAATAATAACCAAATTAAAGAACTTCCAAAACAAGTTACCAACTTACTTAAATTAAAAAATTTTGCTATTTCATACAATATGCTTACTTCATTACCAAGTAATTTCTTTATGTATTCTCAATTGCGTTCACTAAATTTAACTCATAATAGACTTTCTGTTCTTCCAAAGGGAATTAGTTATTGTTCTCAATTAGTAGAAATAAGAATGAATTTCAATGAATTTGATTATATTACAAATGAAATTGAGAAATTAGTAAATCTTAAAACCTTAGTTTGTACCCACAACAAATTGTCAATGTTACCACCAGGAATTGGATCATTAAAGAGTCTTGATACATTAGAGCTATCAAATAATAGACTTAGAACTATTCCATTTACAGTCTGTAAATTAAATCAATTAAGAAATTTTAAACTTTTAATGAATGAAAAGTTAGAAAAAAAATATAAAACTTCTTATGAAACTAAACAACCACAAGCATTTATTAAAGATTGTGGGACAAAAGAATTTGAAGAACTATACAAAAAAGATTGTATGGATCATATTGGATTCTTTGCTAAATGTTTAGGGTGTTCAGAAAATGATGCTCATAATTATTTCAAAACAATTAGAGAAGAAGAAGAAAAGAAAGCAAAACGATTGGAAGAACTACAAATACTTCAAGAAGAAAAAT